ATGGTATTTTAAAACATGCTTGGCAATACAAAAGATTAAAAAATAAAATAACCAACTTTCTTATAGGACCAACCACATATTTTAAGAGAATAAATAGAAATAGATTGAAATAGGAGACCGAAGCTGAGCTAGTTTATTAAAAACACTTCAATCAAAAGCAATTCTTCAAAGACAGTTTTATGAATGGTGATTGCTTCAGTAATTACAAGCCCCTCATCCTTTATCTTGTTTCAGTCTTGACTACTCCTTAATGGAAAATCAATATCTCTTGTACAATGATAAATATGCATTAGAAAAGGATGACGTTTGAAGGACACGTGTTATGTTTTTGGACGGATTGAGAAACTGCCATCATAACCAAGGGTTTGCTCTTTGACTAAAAGTATTTCTAGAACAAATAACCTGTGTGTGCGCATATGTGTGTAACTAATGCAATTAATCTTCATGCTAGATTAACTTGATAAAATATTGACCTAATTTGGGATTAAAAGATTACCAGAAACACTTTGCAATGGAGGCTGCATTCTACTGTCAACTCAGTAAAGACAGCATTAACCCCACGCACTCCTCTCCTTAGTTGGGGCATTTCTGAGTTGCTACTTGTGTTTGCATGACCTACAGGGAAACGGAACAGTGCAGAAGGCTGCAAGGCACTGTCTCTGCTGTTCAGGCTGCTCAGAACCTTGTAAGGGGGAAAGACACTCAAAGGCTGGCTGCACGTGTCCAGCTTCTGCTTGTCAAGTGGATGTGCTAATTGACTAGTAAAGCAAATTGTCTGGAAACATTTAGAACATTTTTATTATGAGTCCACACTATCGTTAAAGAAAAAAATTCTGTAATTGCTTGCAAGTGTCAGAAAAATTTTCTATTACATGTAAGAATTTAAAATAGATAAAAATATTCCAATTATTTTCGTCTCCTAATCTTTACTTTTATTTTTTTTCCAGACAAATTCTTATCATCTTTCCCAATTTGGCCTCCTATTCGCAACACCCTTGGCCTCACTTCTTCTGGGACTGCAGATGTGTGCCACTATACTGGCTAGATGCTTAACTGTTTTTCATGACTTTGTTTTAATTTTGTGAAGGTTCAGAAAGATTTTTGCTGATTACTGTAGATAGATGTGATGGTTTGACCTTTTTTATGACAACTGTAAAGCACATAGACTTTCCATTACCCATGGAGTATAGAGCCTATTATTACACATGAAATAAATAAATACCCTTAACGAACTGCATGAAAATTAAAATTGTGAAAGAAAAAGGAAAGTAGGCCTAAGGAAACCTTTACTTTCCCTGTTTATATATGTGCAGCAAATATTTACATGGAAGTTGGTGGGAAGAGTCCAATTCTACCAGCTTCTAAGTCAATAAATGCTTTATATATGTTGGTGTGTGGACAAACAGCTGAGGCCGGTCCCAAAATGTAGGGGGAACAGAAAGAAATTATGACTATAAAAGGGCTTTGAAAGTCCAATGCTCAAGGCTTCACAATGTAAACTATGAACCTATCCCCTATCTCTTGTCTACTGGAGGCTCCTTCTGTTGCATTAGTAAACTGTTGGATTGTAAATATATCTTTTAGGAAATTATTACTTGGGATTTCATAATAGCTCTTACCATATTTGCTTTTCTCACAATGACACCTTCAATAATTAGCTTAGGATCTGGCAATTAGTTAGCATACGGTTAAGACACACATACATATCTTGTTTATTGATGGTCACATATTCATTGAGATCCCTCAGTGGGTTGCACCCTATGTTGTGTTTCGAGCACTGGTTTGGAACTATTTCCCTGGACTCTGGTAGGCTCATCAGTGGGTGCACGACTGAAGACAGTGTCTGTCCCCATCCCAGAGTAGCCCATAGATCAACAAGGATGGCTAGGGCCTCCACTACTCTGCCCTCCCACCCCCAACTTCAATCTTATTGAATTCCTACCGCCAGTAGCCTTTAAGTTACCCACCCACTTGGGTGTGGCCTCTTTTACTATATATGCTGATTTAAAGCGCACTTCCGGCCTCTTTTCCGGCTGCAGAATTTGGTTGCAGGTCTAGCAGAGGATTGTGATCTGTGAGTCTACCCATAAATAAATAACCTTCTACTATACTCAGTTCTGAGCTAGTGTAGGATTTCTTTTAAGCGTCCTTCTTCAATTTAACTTTCCTCATTCTATTACTTCCCTTTTAACTTTTGTTTTGTTTTGTTTTTTTCCCAGACAGGGTTTCTCTGTGTAGCCTTGGCTGCCCTGGAGCTAACTCTGTAGACCAGGCTGGCCTCAGCCTCATAGAAATCCACCTGCCTCTTCCTAAGTGGTGAATAAAAGGCATGTGCCACTGCTGCATGATCACTTCTAACTTTTTATGTTACTGCATTCTATCTTCCCTCTTTTGAAAGCTCCCCATCCCATGACTGCTGTGGGATAGTTGTGTGAACACTGTGTGAACATGTGTTCCTGTGGTTGGTTTAATAAAGAACTGAATAGCCAATAGCAAAGAGGAGGTTAGTTGGGACTTCTAGGTATACTGAGGATTCTGGAAAGAAGGCAGAGACACCAGCCAGATGCAGAATGAGTTAGGCACACACAATGGAATAAAAGCAAAAGCCATGTGATAGAACCTAGATTAATAAAAAATATGTGTTAATTTAAGCTATAAGAGTTAGTTGAGAACAAGACTAAGCTAAGGTCAGTTTTTCATAATTAATATAAGTCTCCATGCCATTATTTGGGAGCTGGCTGGTAGGACAGAGAAAGACTCATTCCACATGACCCATTACTAATTTTTCAACTTGTATGTATTCCAAATAAAACATACATATCTGAAGAGTCAAAGCTAATGTCCACAAATGAGATAAACATGGAGCATCCATCTTTCTGATCTTGGCTACCTCACTCAGAGTGATTGTGTCCACTTCCATCCATTTACCTGAAAATTTCATTTTTCTTAAGCCCTAGTAATATTCCACTGTGTAAATGTATCATATTTCCAGTAACATTCCTTAGCGGGTGGACATCAAGGTTGTTTCCATTTCCTGGCTGTTCTGAATAGACCAGTAATGAGCATGGATGAGATATGGAATCATTTTGGTAGATACCCAAGAGTGGCATAGCTGGGTCATGTGATAGATCAATTTCTATAGTTTAAAGACATATTCTTATTGATCTCCAGAGAAGATAAACAAGTTTGTCTTCATGCTAGCGGTGAATAACGGGACTCCTTTCCTGATTTGCATATGAACCTACACTCCTACAGCCATGTGATTTTTGACAAAAGAAAAAAAGCCAATAATAGACATTAAAAAATATAGCATCTACAGCAAATGGTGCTGGTAAAACTGGACAATTACCCAGGACTATTGATTCCAACAGAAGACTTGATACCCTGGATCTGTTGGAGGAGAAAAGGTGATACACTTGAACTCACGCAGGAAAGGAGTTTCTGAATAAGATGTCTGTAGCTCAGGCACTAAGATCGACAATTAGTAAATGGGACCCATGAAACTATAAAGCTCTGTGTGACAAAAAAACACCATCATTTGAGTGAGGAATGGGGAAGACGTCTTTACCAACTATTCATCTGACAACAGGTTAGTATCTAAAATATACAAAGAATTCATAAAACTAAACATCAAAAAAGTAAACAACACAGTTAAAAGGTGGGGCATGAAATAAACAGAAATTTGGTGGGTTTTTTGGTTTTGTTTTGTTTTGTTTTGTTTTGTTTGAGACAGGTTTTCTCTGTGTTACCACCCTAGCTGTCCTGCAACTAGTTCTGTAGAGCAGACTGGCCTTGAACTCACAGAGATCCTCCTGCCTTTAACTCCAGAGTGCTGGGATTAATGGTGTATGCACCACAGTCCAGCTATAAAAGAAATATTTAAAAGATTAAGAACAAAAGTTTGAGTAACATTTGAAGATGTTTCATATCCTTAGCCATCTGTGAAATGTTATTTTGATGTTTCCTCTTACCCCAGTTGAAGTTTTAAAACTTCCTTTACGTTAATTGCTTTAACTTAAAATGATATCATGGCTTCTTAGAGAATATGGCGTGGTCAAAAGTAAACATCATCTACTTGGGACCGCATAGACGCTCAATGTTCTGGTCTGGTGCTTGCACTGGAGATGAGGATAGAGAATCAGAGTTTCTTTCATAGCACGTTTACTGAGCTAGGTGGCCTCAGGAAATGACTGCTTTTATAATGACTGATTTTCCTCATCGAATGTTCACAAAATAGTAATGGTTACTTTTATAATTAATAGTAGCTATGGCATTTCATGCTGACTATTTTGTGACTTACATTCACAATTCAATACATACTAAAAAGGTGCTTTGAAAACTCCACAGCCAGGGGCTGACCCACTATTAATGGTGGCCGCAGTGACAGCTCTGTTACTGACTTCTTGCTTTTTGTTCTTTCAATAATATTAGTCATTTCCTTCCCCTGTTCTCAGATATATTTTGATTCGTAATAACAATGTCTTTTTGGAGTCTACTTGACTCTGCCATTTTATCTCTGCAAGGGATTAATAATACTCTCAACTTTTCTTCATTGTTTTTCATGTATAGAAGTGCATAACGAAAAGAAAAAAAAATAACAGAAGAAACTGTTATTTCTTAGAGATCCCATTAGTCAAAGCCACTGACTCTGTCACATGGCAAGTTAGACTTCAGATGTTTTCTGAGATAAACGATGCTTAGCTAGGCTCACTGTTTTAACAGGTCAGGTACAGATTAATAGGGAAAATAGTTTGCAATCTTTCTATCAATATATGCAATCATAACCACAAGACGATTAGTGCTTATAGTATTAAAAAGAGGGGCCGAGAAGCACAGAGTTGTAATTTGTACTGGTACAAAGTTCCAGTTTTGTACAAAGCACAAGATTACTAGTGCGTGCCAAAGCAAAGGACAGAAAACGCGTTTCTCTTGACTGAACTTGCCCTTGTGGACTATTAATATTGCTCAGTTTAGCAGAATTTATTGGGTAAGTGGTCATAATGTTTGTACTGGTAATAGCATAAAGCCGAAGAAAGAGATGTCTGTGGTAAGAGGAATTCTACTGCTGCCTTCTGCCCGGATCTGCTTGATGTGTTAGTGAGTTTCTGTTCCTACACTTGACCTTGATGTGTTAGTGAGTTTCTATTCTTATACTCAACCTAATACCCTTTCTTTCAGTTTCATATAATGTTTTTGCTTTTATTCTGTTTATGTTTGGTGGTCACTCTTTGTCCTTGTTTTCATTTGGGAATCTTTGCTTCATTTTCCCCATGTTCTTTTAAAATTCTTTTAATGCTCGCTGTTGGTGAGATAATTTATTCTTTTGACCTTGACTATCATATGCGGGCCAATAGCATCAATAATTAACCTGTGTGCTCAACATTCTGTTTGTGCTCTGGCATTTTAGCTGGCTTCGGAAGAGCCAGCTTCCGGAAATAGGAGTAAGTTTCTCAGCCTTCTGTTCTTTTCTCCTCCAGGACAGCATCTCCCCTGGAGAGAATGGGGCAATTTCCAAGGACTCTTAATTTATATGTCTGTTGCCAACTCAAGTATCATTTTGCTTGATAGGTGATTAAACCAGGATTCACACCCCTAGCCAGACATACCCTGGTCTGGGAAGGTTTATCTTCCTTTTTAAAGGTCTGAGGTCTGCCACAAAGAGGAAAGGCAAGGGATAAGACTGTGCCATAGTGGTTGGATCCCGCTAATAAAGCCAACTAGTTTAAGGAGTTCCAAGATTCTCTAATTTCCCTTCTACCCTTCCATCTTGTCTTTGTTCAGCACTGAGGATTTATCTAAGCCTGTATAATATCAATTTGCATAGTCATGGAAAAGGCAGATGGCCTTTGGCTGGAAATATTTAGGTGGCCCCTTAGATTTGAGAAAATGGAAAAGGGCAACAACTTGCTTTGAATTCTTCCTAACAGAGGACTTCTCTCAGTGATTCAGTAATTACTGCCCATATAATATCTTTTAAAGCCTCCTTTTCCTCTGCCAATCTTTTAGCATATTTAAAACTGTAAATATTTGGAGCTTTTAATATAACTCTAAACCATAGCCCATTTGTTTGTTTTTCCATTGCTTCTTCTGTGTACATAAAGTTGATGGCAGTTAAATAAAGTTCTCTTATTCTACAAACATCCTTTGAGGTTTTCCATAAGCTTTGCTTCTCTTCCAACATGATTTTCTAAGCAGTTATTCGTGGATTTAGCTATCTTCGTTGTTATTTTACCACTCAAAATGAAATGTAATTGCTTGCTTTTTTTAGTGCTCATATATTTTTAGAAACAAACAAGAAAACAAAAACGTTAGTTTCTTTACTTTCACAACTAAATTCATCGCTAGCTTGTTCTGAGATTGATGAGAACAGGATTGCATGATCTGAGATTTAGGGTGCTGGGACATGTGGCTTGTGCCTAGTGGTTCCAGGTGTGCGGCAAAGAATCCCTCTGTCCGACAGGATGGAACCAGGCAGTAAGTGCCGATTCTCAATGAAGGAGAACACGGCTTCAAGGCTCTTGTCAGGGAAAAACAAAACTCTGATTTCTCCATGAAGCTGTATTTAATACTACACAGGGAGAATGAAGACCAAGACGTCAGCGAGGTCTTTAATGGTCATTGCCTTTAATGAGTAAGGAAAGGCTGTGTGACCACATGCTCAGGTGGGTCACGTGACCCAACTGATGTTGCTGACTGGTGCAATTGATGTATTGCATAAGGATGGTCAATTGAATGCTGAACTTGTCTGGAAGCAAACACGGATTTGAACATTTGTTTGTAAGCACACGGGATTAATCGACTATATTAAAGCAGCTGTATATCTCCAAGCTGCTCACAACTTTTCTGGGTTCTGTAATTCTACATAAGTAGTTTCGATCTGTTTATTTTCCTGGCCACTCTTTCTGTGTGCTTCAAGCATCATCAGCATCCAGCGGAGCAAAATTGTGAAAAATAAGATTTCTATGAGCTTTATTTCTTTGCTTGTTTTTTAAAACTAAAATGAATTCAATAGTTGGGATATTATATCCTTTCTACTGATTTATTTGCAAAGTTGTGAAATATTTCAACTTTGTATCCACCCTACAAAGTTGTGTAGGGTGGATAGGCCAGAGGGAACTATACCCAAACCAAATAGGACCCTCTCTTTCTATGATGCAGGGTACAGTGCCCAGTATTAGGGGCTGAAACCTGTGAAGAAGAAAGCCATTCTACTTAGGGAATTTGTTACAAAATCATCGAGAAGAGCATAAATAAACAACCTGTGTACTTCTGATAAGGGTTTGAATGTTCGTCTTGTTATCCCCAGAGTGCCGTTTACTTTAGCTTTTATAAAGTAGTGATGATAATTCAGATCAAACCTATGATATTCAAATGCTTGCAGTTTTGATACTCAGGAAGGGTTAGAAAGTATTTTCTAGTTTCACCTTAATCAGAGAACTATTGTCTGATGACAGTTATTAGCTTTTACTTCAGGAAGTGCTAATGTACATTATTCAGCTTTTGAGGGAGAGAGAATAAAATCCCTGAAATTATTAAAGAATGTTAGACATGTTGGTAAATTGAAATCCTTCACAATTCTTGAGGAAAGTTTCTGACTCCTGCGCGAGAAACACAAAACATCTCTTATATAGAGAGCACATTTGTTTCTAGTAAAGCCCATTGAATATTCATAGCTATGAGCTAACTCAGATAACTCCTGAGACCAATTCTTAAGTCCTTTCATGAAGAAAAATAAAAAGAAGGGGGGGGATGGGGAGAGATACCATGCACCACATTTTATCACAATAATGCACGTAGTAATGGTGTCATGATATTTACTTTATTTTGGTTATTTTACTAAGTGATGTCATTGTGTTAAAAATTTATCACAGAGGAAAGAGAGAGAACATGTGTACTTGGCTATCGCGGTGTCAAAGTTGCCTTCCGTCCTTGGTGCGGAGTGCAGGACAGCATGGTATTAGGAGAACAGAGTGTCTTTCATGGAGACGGAGGTATTATTTTATGAATCCAATTTCATATCTATCTTCCCATCTGTCACCAGGCAGGAGAGATATAGGACAGTGGCAAACTCATGTTAAAAAGGCCGTCTTGGGAAACAAAGAGAAAAGTTAATGGACACGGATTTACAAATTATTAATGATTTTTCTTGTCATTTCTTGAAAAATGGAAGCTATGCACGCTGCCTCTCTCCCCAAACAGATTGCGTTTTATTCCTCTGCAGTTTGTCCATCAGCCTTCACTCTGACAACATAATCCAGAACTAATCCAGAGCTTCGGTTTTCCTTGTTGGCTCTCAGGCAGCCTGCTTAGACAAATCCTGCTACCTGTCAGCTCTCCGTGGGTGCCAAGCTGGCTGCCAGGTTAACCTCTGGGGAAGCAGGAAGACCTCCAGATTTAACCCCTACTTCCCTCCCCATAATCCACAGTAAATAGGGGGATGTGAGCGGGCTAACTGTTTTAATCAGGGCTGGATCCCTTGAAATCTGTTTCATACACAGCTTAAGAACTCAGGTTATGAACACTCCGATGTGAAATCACATGGCACTCCCTCCAAAGTATGGGCCCTGAAGAAGCAGACGGATCATCAGCACTGAGAGGTCTTAATCCTCCGAAATCTTCTGTGAAAATATATGTACCCCCCGCCCCGAACCACACAGTCACCCACCAAGACATTCTAATTGTCAGGCTGAGGTCAAAACCAAAGAAGAGACGAAGGAACAGGGAAAAAAGAAAACCAATTTGTTTGTTACAAGGTCTCACTCTACGTTAATTACTGATATGACTTTTTCAATTTTCCTTTTCTTTATCTCCTGCTTCCCCCAATACATGTATATGCACGTACACACACTAAATCTTGCGGCATGACAGTGAATTTGAATATTGTTTACAGACAGGTCTCAAATGATTCTGATACGAACCAATAGCTAGATGAAATTTCCAAATGCATAAATGTAAATTAATGTTGCCTGGCATCTAAACGACATCTAATTGAGTAAGAATTAAAATGGAGCAGTTCAATTAAGAAGGTAAAACATCCTCAAAAGCTCTCTTCCTTTAGGCAAAGAGAACACCACGCTACCTTCCCAGCACATCTGAGTCTACCTGCTTCTGCAGCATCAAGAGTCCACAGCAGGAAAGATCTTGCATGGCGACACTGTTCCCAGGCACATTTCAAGGTCCACTAAATTTGCCTGGGAAATGCACTGAAACTTCAGTCAGCTCTTCCAGTGTGTAGAAGGTGAGTTATCCTGATGTCTCCAGGAGGAAGTTAAGTTCAGGGCAGCCTCTGGGGTAAGGAATCTGAACTTTTCCTTCAAGCATGCTGGGAATCACTATGACTTCTAATGAGCATCTTTGGTTTTGTCCCATTTAATCACAGGCTTTCCTTGCAGAAGAAGAAGGACGAGCCTTCCCCCTCCCCACCAACTCCCACTCACAGAGCAAAAGATGAAAGACAGGAATGCGCCTTATGCAAAACTAACACCCAGATGTGCCTTCAGTGAAGTAAGTGGACTTGCAGATATAAACACACACACACACACACACACACACATGAATCACTTTATGGTTTCTGACCTAACCAATTGAAGTGTTACTCAAATTTAATTATTTTGACGATGGATGTATTTTTGTTCGTCTAATTGTAGCTTACATTTTATGCAACAAATACAGGCATTTTGCTTCTTGAGTAAATAGTTTTAAAAATTAACATCTGGCTTATTTCCTACTCAAAAGGTAAAAATAATATGCTTAGAAAAGGGATTCTTATCCAACATTTTCGTTTTATTTTTGTTGGTATTCTTTTCAACTCCTCCCCTTTCTTCTTCCTTGGCCTGTGTCCTTTCTTTTATTCCCTGTAATTCATTAAGTATTTGTTTTACTGCTGTGAGAATTCTCTACCCCAAGAGACTGAAACTTAATTACTGCAGCTGACTTCATGCTGCAGGTGACACCAGCGACTGGCTGTCAAACAACACCAGGGCAGATAAAGCTTATTTTAAAGCTCACCAATTTGTGATGTTTTATTTTGATAACTACTGAAATCTAAAATCAGAGAGACAAGATGAAATTTCATTCAACTTCTGCCATAAAAGTCTTAAAAAGTGTTCCTTAAGTTTGTATCCAGTACCACTTAACGTTTTTTGAAATGTAGCTTTATTACCACAGTGAATGTAAACTCAGTGTTGAGATACTTTGGGGAATCTAATCTGAGGACTGGTCATGGGTGATAACTGATTCTTTCCCTTGGAGCCAGAGGCCAAGATAGATGATTTAAAAAATATCTTGACTTCTTAAAGTAACCTCCACATTGCACTTGTAACTTTTAAGAACATACTGAATAAAGAAGTTGAAAGATGCGTACCTTAACATACAGATTCAAAGTGCAAGAAAATTTTCTTAATGGTTCTACAAAGGCACAGGCGTGAAGAGACGGACTGTCTTGTTTCAAACTCAACTCTACCATTCTCTGGCTAGAACTTACTTTTTATCGTTTAGTTCCCTCCCCTCGACAAGGAGAGCATCTTTCCCATTTGTTACTGCATTTGTATTGCATTTGTTACTGTGGGTGCTGTTGGTGTAAGGCTTAGGTGGAGTTTCACACATAGAATACAATCAGTCCAGTTCAGCAAATACTCAGTACAGATATACTGAAACCTCACTTAAACTCCCAGTATTAAGCCCTATAATCAGAAATCACGGAGTGATAAAATTTTAAAGAAATGTATCAAGTTGCTTAAGGTTCACCTAAAAAAGAATACTTAGTCTCCATATTAGAATTATATCTTGAGCTCTCATGTTAAAAACATAATAAGCTTGAATAGGCTAGCAAAATGACTCAGTAGGAGAAGGTGTTGCCTCTCCAAGCCTGATACCTAAGAAACCACTTGGTAGAAAGGCGAGAACTGAATCTTGCAAGTTCTCCAAACGGCACACAAAATAAACACATTTTAAGGTGATTTAGATTCTTTGAGATACTGAGTGAATTAATTTTAAAGCTCTCATACTCTTTGTCTTGAGCTATTTCAGAGCTTGAATTGAACAACTTTTTATTTGCATTTGACTTAGATAGCGAAGATTGTGTTTTCAGAATGGTTTCAAGGTAAGTGGCAAAATATATCATTGAAAATACTACTAAGTTAAAATAATGCGTACACACAGATACACATAGAGACCCAGACCCAGACATACACACACATGCAGATCCACACACAACCACAGCCACAGTTACACAGAGATACATACACACACAAAGACACACACACAGAGGCATACACACACACACACAGACAACACACACAGAGACACACACTCATGCAGATACACGCATAGAGACATACGCACACATGCACACACACACTAAAACCCTCCAGCTACTCTGGATTGTTGTTTGATAATAATGCTGTAAGAAACTTTGGCCTGAGCAGTCAGGCCATTTGGAACACACGACTCTGCTTTCACGATTGATCAATAGGCTATAAACAAACGCTGGGAACATCAGGTCATTTTTGCTCATCTCCCTGTTCTACAGCGCCAGCTGTGGGGTGTTATCTGGCTATTGATCACATCCCTTATCAGCTCTGCACATTACGGTATGTTTGTAGTTGGTACCAAATCTAAACAGCACTGGCCTAATTCATGGACCTTTGAAGTCTTGGTCTAAACGGTGGTAAACAAAACTGATCACACTTAAGTCTTTAGTGGATTTCAGTCTCGAGTGAAATTTGACATAATTAGAGCCCCCTGAATAAACCAGATAGGACACTTTGTCCAAAGAGTAAAGAATGTTCAGAGAAACCATACTTGCAGATAGGAAGCAAGATGAGAAAATTAATTCCTATCAGAATTTTCCTGCTTTCTGCCCATGAATAATGGTGCAAATTTAGAACCCTGGAAGCAGAATGTAGATGTTTTCAGTTTGAAAAGAAATCTGTCCAGTGAAGTCCTGCAGTTTGGGGCTTTTCTCTTGCAGATTGATCTAATTAATACTTGGAAGATACTTTATCCAGTACACAAACATATTACCCTTTTATTAAAGGAGTAATAATTGTTTTAAAAACATGAATGAAATTACAGACTAAAAACAACAAGGTGGGGTAACCTTGAACAGAGTAGAAGGGATGAACACCCGGAAGCTGCTAGTTAATAGAGATTTATCTCTGACCAGCCCCCACCAGCTTGATGTTTTGATTTCCTTAACAAGATTATTTAGTACTTATTGTGTAACATGTTCTTAAAAATTATCCCCCAAACCATTTGCCTATATATTGCAAGAGTATTCTATTGTAAACAAATATGTTGACAATAATTCAAATTTGGGATAGACAAGACAGCTTTCAACTGTCCATTCCTTGGATTCTTCCTTCCCGCACACATTTTAATCATTTCCTCAGAATAAATTTTTCGAAGTGTAAAGAGTGAAGTGGATGGTATCTGTGTTTAAAGCTTCCGCATACAGCGCCAAGATGCCTTCTGAAAGGGGGCACCCACTTATGAATTTGCCCCCATATTATTATTAGCTCCCACAGTCTCTCCCACTAGCTTGACTTTCATATTTTTGTTGGTTTGAATCTGTTATATATGTATTTGTCTTTGCTTGACTTTGAGAGCGAATAAAGTTTATTGGCCATTACTTTATTTTGATTTCTTTGCTTATTTTCTATTATTTACTACTTCTTTGAATTGCAAACCTTTTATTTACTTGTGAAAACTTTTTATGTGGTAAGCATATTATATTACATATGTAATAAAAACTTGCATGTATGAACTAAGCATATTGTTGTTGTTTATTCTGCTTATTTACCCTTTATAATTTTAATTGTTATTGTTCTTGTAAGTTTATTAAATTATGTTCACAAAATAGCTATGAAATTCCTGCTTCTAGAATTTTCTTGCTGCTTTCTTGGTAACTTAATATGCCATCATTTAAAAATAAATGTTTCAATAATATGGATACATTCTGTGTTGCCTATGGATTTAATATGATACAGATGATGAAGAAGCAAATTTCAATTTGTTAATGACTTAAGGATAATCTTCTTAATTAGAAAAATGAGATTGATTTTACACCACCAAAAGAAGCCTACTCTTAAATGCTACATTACTTACCAACTAGAGAGCAATGTGAACACTACTTGCCATATCTATGATATTAAAGAAAATTTGCAAAGAAAACTGGTGTCAATTTTAATAAATACTTTTAAAGATTAACTAGAATTTGAAAGTGTAATATAAAAATATGTCCATAGTCAAAATGAAGTAATTAAATAGAGTATAAATGCATTAATTTAAATATATCAGTAACAGGCAGGCAAATGCACCAGAAGCGTTTACATAAGCCTGCTGAGCTTAGAGCCCTTGGAGTCAAACTGAAGAGAAGCATCATTCAGTTAGTGCTAATTATTAGCTGGTCACTTTGAAATTCAACTAGGCAATTATGTTTGGTAATTGTATTAGCTGGTTAAACATTTGAAACTCAAAGTTTAAAATTACAAAGCCAAATATTTTTAAATGATAGAAACATCTAAAACTAAATCGAATGGAATATTTATCAAAATTATTTCAATGAGAAGAGAGCACATGGCTGGCAAATTCCCAAAACTGCTAAAATCACTATACACCTGAACGTCTGTAGCTGATGTACATAAGATTGATTGTGAATAAACAGGTTATAATGCAAGAGGAATTTGAAGTCGAGGAACAGATATCAACTCGAAAGTTAGTCTGCGCTGGAGGGAAAGGTTTATTCAGAGTATACCTGTAGGGAAAGTAAGGCTTACAGAGGTTAGGTTTCTTACCTTGCTCACAACCCTGGGGAACAATAGAGCTAGGATTTAAATGCAGGCATTGGAATGCTAAATCCCAGGCTGGGCACTACCACATCACATAGCACCCACCTTTTACCAAGTGTTGAATATCCCATGCTAGGCACGATTCAGTTAGGTCTTAACCTTCCCTCTTTCCTTTTCAGTGTGGGTGTTTTGTTTGGTTTTTTGTCTTTTGTGGGTTTGTACTTTTGACTTATAATTTTGTTACATTCATAGCATACTTCAGTTGACTTTGTCTTCCATTTTATATGGACTGTAAACTGTATGCTGCATTGGACTGATTATCTGGAGCTGCAGGTACAATCTTTTAAAATGTTTTATTCGAATGCGCCGGTGGAAAGTGGGTACTCTACAGTTATTTACCATCTCTGTTTGACCCCGTGCCATCTGTTCAGCCAGTTCAGAGTCCACCTTGTCTTTGTGTCATCTCAGACACCTTTGCACCGAGTTCTGTTCTGTGTTCAGTTTGCTTTCTCTGGTCTCCTCATTTCTCTTCTTCACCCTCCCACATCTCTATGGCTTTTAGAATAACAGCTCTTGGAAGATGGATTCTCTGTGGTTTCTTCCTCCTCCTCCTCTTCCTCCCTCTCCTGCTCTTCCTCTTCCTTCTTTTCAATGCCATCCTTGTTTGTCACAGGGCCTGGAACATAGTTAACGTATGCGAAATGCCCTTTTACCATTCCCAGGCTGATGTTCTTGATGCTGAGGATTGTATTATATAAGACATCTATAAAAATAGATGTTTCTCTTTCGATATTTCTTAGAAAACTCACAAGGGAGTTATTACCATTGACCTGATGTGAGCTATTTTAGATGGTTTAAATGATACGCATAAGTCATGCCCTTTGAATTTGTCCATTGGTTTTG